CTTAGAAAAATATCGACTCTTTGTTTGTAGATATCTACTAAACAGAACTACAGCAAATAAAGAGAGTAGGCCTGTTATACTGAGTGATATATATTATACACACTGCTCTGCTTTCTGCACGGACCTCACAGCTGTTCTCTCTGGAAACATCGCGACGCGATGAAAGCAGTTTCTAAAATAATATCCAGGGGATGCATGCATAGCTGTCATTGGCTGAGATAAGTCCGGCCGTGCGTCACGCCTCCACCGTTCCCGGAAATGCATCCGTGGAGGAGCCGTGGAGGAACCATCAGTGTATCCTCGGTTAGAGCTCCTCCAGAGAGCCTCCTCGACGCTCGATCCTCGGTCCTCGGTGTGCATTTAGAGAAATGAGATGTCCTTCAAAATGGCGCGCTGAAATTCATTTCCGGGTCACCACCGGAGGACCGAGGACCGAGGAGTCGAGGAGGGGACATTTGAGTATTGAGAAGCCTCTAGTGTGTGGTCTTTGTTCCCAACTGAAGTTATGGAACTTTATTATTTGTGAGTTTAACAAAGTATGACAAATGGCATCAGTAACAGATGTGATATGAATTTCTATAAAGTTGTCTCACATTCTTGGTCATATTTTATATACAGTATGTAATGAGTATAACATGTCCAGTAAGTATAAATGTTTCCTAATACTGTGTATTCAACCACTATGGAATATGTATGTGGGCAGACAAGATTCAGACACAGTTGTTCTGTGTGTGAAGTAACCTCAAGTCACTCCGCAGGCACATTTTGATGCAGACCAGTTTGTCAAGACAAAAAAGGGCAAGACTAGGCTGAGAGCAGAGGCTATACCCACCATCTTCGTGCATCGCCCTGTGGTCAAAAAGAGAAGGGCCCCTGCACCACGATTCACCCCGGGACCTGTATCTACAAAGCCCATAGCTCATGATCACAGCTATAGTGTGAAAGGTGATACAGGTATAATAAGTATGAACTCTTAGTAACAAAAGTAATATTTGTTATTTTTAAGTGGTATAATATTTAAAATGTTCGAAAATTTACAGTGCCATGTCTTCTACTTACATTAGTCTCAAAGATTGAGGGAAGAAGGGATGAGGAGACTGAGAGAAAGGAAAGTGAGGGTGAAGAAAGAGAGGACATGGCTAGTGAGGAGAGACAGGGAGGGCGGACACCACCCACTCAGCCAGCAGCCAGTCAGCATACGAGGGAACCAGCAGCCAGTCAGCATACGAGGGAACCAGCAGCCAGTCAAACAGATCTATTACAACAATTAAAGAGAAAATTAAAGAGCCAAGAAGGAATCACCAAAAAAGCAAAGGCTGCACTAAGAAAAATCAGGAAGGAAAATGCAGCTCTCAAGAAAACAATGAAAATTAGGGACAAGAAATATAAGAAAACGTTTTCATAAGACCAACTGAAGGCATTAGGCAGACTCACCACAAAGGGGATGAAATGGAGCAATGAGACAATTAAGAAGGCTTTAAAAATTCGCTTTGCGAGCGGACCAACGGGTTACAAAACTCTGCAGGAATTGAAGATTCCCCTTCCAGGAATAAGGACACTGCAAAGAAGGATGCAATGTGTTAAGTTTGAGCCTGGTGTGTTGACAGAGGTCTTTGATTTCCTAAAATTGAAGGCAGATAGATTGACAGACTTTGAAAGGGAGTGTGTGTTGACCTTGGATGAAATGGCAATCACACCAAGTGTGGAGTTAGACATGATTACAGGCAAACTGTACGGTGATGTGACTTTACCAGGTCACACAGGGGTGGCAACACATGCTTGTGTGTTTATGTTGGCTGGAAACACAACATGGTGGAAGCAAGTAGTGGCATATCATTACACTGGCAATTCTACCAATGGAGCAGAGTACAGGCCAATCATTATTGATATAATACAGAGGGCAGCATCCATAGGGCATGTGCTTGATGTCACCACCGACATGGGTAGCCCTAACCGAGCCATGTGGAAATCCTTTGGGGTGGACCAAAATAAAACATCGGTGCCACATCCAGCAAAACCAGACAGGCAGCTCTATTTCATGCCCGATGTCCCACATCTGGTAAGGGCTGTCAAACGATTACAAATTTTAATCAGATTAATCACAGCTTAAAAATTAATTAATTATGATTAATCACCATTCGAACTATGTCCAAAATATGCCATTTATTTATGTATATTGTTGTGGGAATGGAAAGATAAATTAAAGAAGGCGGATATATCCATTTAACATACAGTATGTATGTTTATTATAACATTTTTCTGCGTGTCAAAATGAAAGACAACCCACACACCTATCAATCATCAAACCGTGGGGTCTTAATTCATTACGTGTTGATTTCTACTTCAGGAAAGTCGACAGAGGAGGTGGGGGGGGGGGGCGCGCTAGTGGAGTACGTTGTGACCACAGAGTGTAAACGTTGTGATCAGCTGTTTTAGCGCAGTTCTCCAGTGAATGGGGGGGGGGGGGGAGTCTCCGTCCGCAGCCGGTTGGCGTAGTTTTGGCACAATTCCGTTGAATAGACCGACGTTAACAGCAGCCCTGACTGTGCACACGGAGACCGACTCTGTCGTCCGGTGATCTAACCGCCATCTGGAAAAGCTTCACAAGTACGTCGGTACGCAAATGCGCTTTGTGACACAAGTGACGGTACGCATTTCAGAGAGATTACGCACATAACCTGCGTACCAGTTATGTGCACCCCTGTACTACAGCAAAAGTATTCTCCGTCGGGACTTCCTGCAACAACACCACGCCGTTATCAAAGATGTTCTATTGAGAAGACGATCACTACGTGACAAAAGTTTTCAAAACCGTGGCTACTGAAATCAATCTTACTAACTGCTGTCTGTGCAATTTACTCCGCGCGAGTTGGCAGACTTTATTTTGCTTCCTTTAACATCATGGTGGGGCTAAGCCATTTCTTGGTATGGGTGTAGCCTACCCCAGCCATACGGGCGGGCCATTCTGCACCTGCGTTAAATGCGTTAAATATTTTAACGCAATTAATTCAAAAAATTAATTACCGCCGTTAACGCGATAATTTTGACAGCACTACTGGTAACAAATTAAAAAAGTGCCCTTGTCCGTGGGCAGGTCTTCATAATTCCTGAGGATGTTGTTAACAGAGAGAACCTCCCCTCTAACGAGGTTTCTGTGGTCCCCATTAAGGACTTATTGACCTTTCAGGAAGGGATGGCCTTACAAATAGCTCCCCATCTTTCAGCTGCAGCCATCGAGCCAAGTCACTTTGATAAGATGAAGGTTGGTCTTGCTCTAAATGTGTTCAGTAAGGCTACAAGTGCTGGGCTGAAATACATGGTGCAGCAAGAAAACCGCCCTCTGTCACACCTGACGACAGCGTGGTTCCTGGAGCAGGTTGATCGTTGGTTTGATCTGATGTCATCTCGCCATCCAATTACAGCCCTGAGCAGGCTCAAGATGGAGGAGTACCAAAAGGCCATCACCGTCCTCCAGAACATCATCCATCTGTTTCGTGGGATAAAGATAGGTCAAAAGGGAGGTTGGAAGCCTGTTCAAACAGGGGTGATAATGGCAACAACATCAATTTTGGCCATACAAGAGGAGATGCTTACACAAGGACACAGGTTTGTGTTAACGTCAAGGTTCACACAAGACTGCCTTGAAAATACATTCAGCTGTGTGAGGTCTAAAAATCCTGTCCCAACTCCAGTGGAATTCCATCATGCACTGAGAATCATATCTGTGGGGCAGTTCCTCGCCACCATCAGCTCTGGGAGCTACCAGGAAGACCACAGTAGCTTTTTGGCAGACTTCCTGGACACAGGGGAGCCAACAATCACTCCATCAGTCAGAGTGGAACAGCTGATGGCGGTGAACAGAGCAGCAGCACCTGACCTCACAAAAACTGAGAAATGTATTCTCTTCCATCTTGCAGGCTACATCGTCCACAAAATCATCAAGTTTGCCAGCATCTGTGAAAAATGTAAAATTGCAACAGAGCACCATGATGAGAGTCCTTCTGGTGACAACAGCTTGTTAGTGGACTTGAAAGACTTCAAGGCAGGTGCTCTTTGTCGTCCCTCCCAAGAAGCCTTTGACTTCATTCACCAAATTGAGGAACTATTTAGGACCAAGACTGGTTCCTCCCTCATGCAGCTCCCCAACGCAGTGGGTGTCTTGGAGAAAGAAGCTCAGGCCCTCTCCAGCAGGCTTCCGTCATGCTGTGGAGTACAACAAAAACTCGTAAATAGATTCATACGGCTGAGGCTGAGAATTGAGGCCAAACAAATCAGAAATGACAGAATTTTTTTTTAATTAAAAGATGGCCATTTTGGAAGCAAGAGCCAATCCAAAAAGGTGAAAAGGAACAACAGCAGCCAAGCTACCACATCCAGCAACCCCCACACAGATCCACAGCTGCAATCATTTCCATTAGCCGTTGCAATGGAAATATTTGGACTAAACATTGCTCTTCCACCTGCCAGCACCCAGCTAACATCACTGCCCCTCCACCCGTAACATCACTGCCCCTCCACCTGCCAGCACCCAGCCAGAGGAGCGCAAACAACAAAAACAAGCAAGGTGTCCCGTCATGTACCTGGAAGTTTGGGTTGGCAAAATGGAGTAAGAGAGGGACTTGAAAAACCTTGGTGGCTCTCTACTCATGTTGTTACAGTTGTCTTGGTTACAGCTCTCAAGTTTTTTTTTGTTGCAATTTTTTATTTCATATTTTCTAAAGATGTGGACATCTTTAGAAAATATGAAATAAAAAATTGAAGTGAAATCAACCTCTTCTCTGGAGAACAAACTTTGATTTATCTGTCTTGTGAGTTTGCAGTCTTGCAGTTTTGCTCCTCCACCTGTAACATCACTGCCCCTCCACCTGCCATACAGTAGGTTACTAACAAGATTACTTATATAATACAGTGATATAATACATGTTTAGTATGCTTTCTTATATAAAACAGTAGTATTAAACTTACCTTGTGTTTTCACTCTCACTTAAGTCCCTCTCCCTTTGCCATCAATCCAAAATCAGCTGAGCTGCAACATTATACAGACAGGTAATAATCAACATAATCACAAGGACACAATATGGCTCTGCTAAAAACACTCACTCTTACACGCACCAAAGTCATATTTATCTAATATTTAACTCCCTCCACCCCGCATACAATCCCGTTTAGAAGCCCCTTCTCTAATTCAACAACGTTGGACGAAATGACTTTAGGAGAACGGAATTTACAATTAAAAGGCTGTTCAACGTCTGTTGCTAACTTGCTTCGGTATCCTAGCTGGAGAACTAATATTATTTCATTTCAACAGCTCCTCCTTCACAAGTTGGGATGGCCACTGCATTTTCAGAACACCACAGAGATGGTCAGGAGAAACAGGAGTGTAAGTTATCTGCTTGATATTGACAACTTGTATTCATACAAGTTGTACTTTATAAAGACATACATTTTGTGTTGTTGATTTTTTATCAAGTGAATGATGCCAAGGACCAGGGAGACTTTACTAGTATCAACACAGTTATGGCAAGCAAAGGTTGCTGGGGACAGGAGCTTCAGGAGGTTCAAAACAAACAAGTAAAGTGAACTAGTCAGCAGTTCAAAAATATTGTATGTATGCTAAATATTACTTAAAATGCCGGTTTTCATTTTCTTTTTTCTTCCTTTAGCTGACACAAGTTCTGGACAAGACCCAAAGTCCAAACACACATCTAGCCTTTGTGAGCAAGATGGCTCTCACGCGGTCAGATTTTTGGAGTTTGGGTTTGGCTAATGACATGGATGGGATGGTAATCAGAGTGATCACGCTCTTTGTTTCTTGTACTCTTTCTAACTGATTTTGTATTAATTGTTGGCATGTTTCATGTACTCTGTATTTTACTGACTGTGTGTTTGTATTCTGCCAGATCCTGAACAGCTGTCTTACAGTTATTGAGAAGGTATTGAAGCTGTTCTAAAATATGTAAATATATGTATAAAACATACTATAGTATATCAAACAATTTATAAGATATTACATTATGAAACTACATCTGTTACAGAGAGTAGATGGCGTGTTTGCTGCCAACAGCCATGTTATAGCTGCCTGGTTTCCACCATCTTCCACCATCAATCCGATGCAACACCTGCCGGTATTTTGATCATGATTACCCATGTTGCTGCTCCATATTCTTGTACCAACTCATTACTGAAGTCACATCAACACAACTGTTTTTTTTGCTTTTCCAGGAAAATGCAGCAAATCTCCAACGGCTTCTCCTTCCAGTGTGGGAACCTGGACACTCTGTGTAAGTACATGTAGTTCTGTCTTTGCTATTGTTTGTTTACTGTACAATGCAGTTTGCCATGCCGCAAATAGTGTTTCTATCTTTAAATTCAACGCTTCATTTAGTTGTATAATACAGATCCTACAACTTTATAATATAACGTTTGAATGTCAAAGTATACCTGTTGATATTGGAACGTGTGATATTAACAGATACTGAGGCCACAAGCTAGGGAGATCTTCTTTCTAGATCCCCTCCGTGGCACTGGCTGGAGAGATGATAGTCGCACCAAACCATTCAGGTTTTTTGGCGCACAGTTACATCACATCCGGACAGTGGTAGTTCTGTTTTAGACCACTTGTCTATCTTTTTTTAATCTATGGCTCTGTTTTATTTGAACTAACATGGGATGCATTGTATTAAATAAAAGGCATTGAACAGAACCATAGATGCCACTTGACAGCGGGGCTGTTCTGTTTGACCCCTTAATGACCTTTTTTTTTAGAAGTTCAAGTTTGTTCCTGTTCCAACAGCGTTAAAAGATTTTCTGCATGATTTTCATGTACTTATAAAGTTGAATTAAATTGTACTTATTCTTAACTTTCACATGCATTGTGTTCACAGAAACCTTGCTCAGATCTTGTGCCCTGGGCCTTGGGCAAGTCTTGGTGTGGATGATGTCCAGGTTAGATTTGTTAAAATGATTCTACTGAAGAGTATGATGTAATTGTCATTTTTGACACTTTTCACACTACAGGGCCTACCAAGACAAGGGTTCTCGAACAACTGTGGGGTGTTTGTTTTGATGGTAAGATACTGGATGTACAGTATACATATAGTAGTCCTATTTTTCTGTTTATAATAATGTATACAAATGTATACTGCTTTCAGCATGCTATGCACTCCATTATTGCTCATAGTTTGAGACATGCTGTGATTTATTTATATCCAAAACAACATTCACGGAGGAATATTATTTGTCAATGAACACCATAGCATCACAACAACCTATAACATAATATACTATTTCTTTATTTACAATACGCATTTTACATTGTGGCAAGAGCCCAATTTGATTTCAATGAGGTATGTAGAAATAAGGGTTTCATATTTCAGTTTTTCATTGATATCACTTGTGGATACAAGACTTTTCAGGACATGTGTTGTTGACCCATCTGGTTGTGTGCTTTTTATATTCCAAGACAAACATGCAGAAAATTAGGCACTGATGGTATAGTTCTCCTCAAAAACTTTCCCATGCCGTATGTTTCTTTAATTTTACAATTTACATTTGCATTCTTGAGACTATTTGTTACACTGTAACCTGACTATATCATTTTTAATGAATGTTTTTAATGTTTGTCTTTCATTCACCAAGGTCTGAACAAGAGAGGTCGCAAGACTGCAAGAGGCGACGGGAGGAAAAGGCAATGCAGGTAGAAGTTGTTGAATCACAAATGATAAAGTCTTGAACCAGTGTGAGTGTTAAACATTTAACCTCTCTTTGTCAAATATATTTCAGGATGAAGAGGTTGTGAGGTTCCACAAAAGAAGCAGGCCATCATTTGAGATGGGGTCATGAGTGACCGCTGCTGGGGGGGAGCTGTTACAATCAGCTGTATTAGGTTCACTAATGCCTCAAAATGTATTAGTTGTCACGATCTGTCTGTGTATTATTTTGTCCTGTCTTGTCTGTTGCTTTCTGTGTTCAATAAAATTGAAAGTCCTGAATTCAAAGTGTTTCTTAAGTAAAAGAGTATAAGTATTATCAGCTAAATGTACTCGAAGTATCAAAAGTAGAAGTACATGCGGAATGGCTCTGTTCACAGTATTATATTACCATTGATATTATCCTGTCAATTCTATCAATTTGTCAATACGATGGCACTTTTAATATATTTTTTAAAATACTGGTAGGAAATAATGTGATATGATTTCATTTATATCACATGTTTTTCAGTAAAAAGTGAGTAAATATACAATATTGCCTCTGAAATTAAAATTAAAATTAAAAAGGTGTACGTTAAAAAACAAATGAAGGCCCTTTCTTGAACTCATAACTGAAATAATTGATGCAATTAACATGCAAATAGACATTAAAATATGCTTTGAAGGCTGTTAATGTGTTTAATTTGAGTTTTACATTTTTAAATGCCGTTGCCATGAATACAGATCAGTCGCCATCATCACAGACCTCAAGGTATCATTATATATATATATATATATATATTAATAATATAAGATATAATATGTTAAAAATAGTTAATACTCTGACGCTATGAATAACAGAACAGAACTACTACCCCGGAAACAGGATGCAACGCGTCATCTGTGAAGCTTGTCACGTGCCTCAAAGGTTGAGAAGGAGGGGCCGTCAGTCACGTGCCTCAAAGGTTGAGAAGGAGGAGCGTTGAGGCTCCGCCCATCTTGAGGTACTGCGCACTGCAGTGAGGGGTACTACAATCCTCACGGGCCCTAATCTCGCGGGCAGCAGAGAAGCAGGTGCATTTTGGAGAGACTCAATAGAAATATGAGTTATTAACTAACTAGACACCTGCAAAAATGAAGAAAGTGTTCACCGCAGAACAAATTTCGGATTGGTTCACCTCAGGAGCGACGTTTGCTAACATTAAACTCACGGAGGAAGTGGTTGAAAGAAAGTTGGATGAAGTGTCGTCGAAAGAGACCAGGTGAGAGAAAAGTGCAAAATTAACATTAGCTTAAAATTGGCTAACACCATGCTCGTTAGCATAGTGCTGGATCCCACCTGACTTATTTCTATAACGCTAAGGCCGGTTACAAAACAAATTGCATTCTTATGGAGTCGTTTGGTTCATCGTATCCAAAACCTTGGATGGGTACACTTTTTGAAAATGCAATTGTTTCGGAACCCTGCATGTGCGGAGTTTTAGCTATCATTTGGTAACGCTAATTAGCAAGCAGCATCAGTCTGAACTAGGGGAAGAAGGTCACTGGCCTGAAAGCAAGCTAACCCTAAATGGTAAAGTTAATGACTAAACTCTTCAAGCGTTCTTTGTGGATTCCACATAGACAGTAAATATAAAGGGCTACAACTTGCTTTAGATTTAGTGTTTCACCGTAAAAGAGGAGAACTGACTGGTCTAGCTAGACCACATGGGTCAAACTCAAGGCCCGGGGCCAGATCAGGCCCTTGGTGGATTTAATTTCGGCCCGCAGGATAATTTCTAATTACTATTAGATCTGGCCCGCCAGTATATTGCATAAGAAATGAATGCAACTGATTATTTAATGTTGTTTTTATAGGCAATAATTTAAGCTTTGTTAATTCCAGTTTTAATTAGTTAATTGTAATAAGTTTAGCAATACATATTGAACCAGTCCTGCCTTCGACTAGTACCGATTTTTTTTATTTTGGCCCACTGTGTATTAGAGTTTGACACCCCTGTAGACTATGAAATAAACTTGACTGAGGTTTCCAAAGTTGATAAATGATTATTTAATATAATTTTTAGCGTTATTCTTTTAATACAGCCCACATTTTAAAATCATCGATGAAGTGATGTAACCAAATTGAACATCAAATAAAGGCTTTCTGGTGCGTTATCCTGGCTTTTGTAGACTGTAAGGAATTTATCACAAATGTATTTGTTTTAAGTTTAATAACAGCAAAATCAATTCGAACTATTAAGATTATTTTATAACGGGTTAGTTACCTAAAACTTTGGAATTCGCCCAAAATAACAATACTGAGAATATGGCCTTCTGGCAAATATGGGAGAGTCACAGGTTGATTAACAAGTTACAAGATAACAAAATAATCTATATAAAACTACTCAAAACTAGTCATTCTATTGTATTGAGAAAGGATTAAAAAGAGCAGGGGACAAACTAGTTATTGTAATTTTAAAAAGTGCAATACATTGTCCACTGGGCCTAATGTCTTCATTATTTGGTATCAAGCTACATCTACAACTAATACAAACCATCAAGTTTTTGCATATTTTCTCTCACAGTGTAGTGCTATATGGTGCCTTGGGCCTGAGAGAAACTGGGTAGTTATATGGAAGGTCCCAGTCCCTGTTGGACCCTGCTAACGAACTGGAGTGCCGCATGGCCCTATCCACGTATCCCGAGATTGTTTGGATCTCCTCCCTTGGGTTGTCTCCACAGTTTGGGACGGTGGGTGTGACAAAGCCCTGCTTCATTATGTAGCGGCTGGTCTCCATTGGTCGGTTATGGGCTGGCTTCACTGAGAGGTCATCCTCTTCATCATGTTATTTCTGGCTCAAGAAGTCGCTCAGAACCTGCTTGAAGACACACGCCAATTCCCAGGGCATAATGTTGTTAGTAGCAAGCACCTCACGAAACCTGTGGAAAACAATACAATTAATGAAACACTTGTTAAAGGCAAAAGAAAATCCACAGTGGGATTACTAGGGTTTGTTCATCAAAGTTAGCTGTAGGTGGCACCATTTCTGAATTAATTACAAACTGCAGAAAAAGAGACTCAACAAAATAACTTGTTATGCACCAATCAGACCTTAAACTGTGTACACAATGTAGAAAACTGGAAATATTACATTTTTATTTTATTCATGTGAGGAAACGTACTTAGATCTTTGTGGATCAATGTGGAGACCGTTTTAATCTAATATTTTACATATTTCAGTGGGGAAGATACTTTATTTTATGCTGAAGTCACACTCTTCACGTATGTCATAATTTATTCATAAATTGAAAATGTGCATTAAAAAAGTGGTAGAAATGCACATTTTATGTTACACATTTTCTATTGGATCTAATATCATATAATTTGACCATGTTTTCACAAATGATATTATTAGGACAACAGCACAGCTTTTTCTTGACAAGCATTATTCCATATTTCTTCCTAAATGTGTGATTCTTTGGTAAAGTGGTTATGCAAGCACTCTGTATTGACCCAGTAGTGAATGTAATGGGAAATGAATAAGTAGGTCACAGTGTTCAACCATGTGGAACAATATTTTGATATCATTATGGCTAACAGAGATAATGAGTGGCAGTCTGTCTCCAGTCAGGCTAACAGGGCATCCTTCACCTTCACATGTTCACACCATACTTCGCCTGCCTCTGTGACAGTAACACATAATGGCTTTCTTGGCAGCCTGCCCTGCCTCCCTTTCCCTTTGGGCCTTTACTGCTTTGCCTGCTGTCAAACCTTGTGTTGATGCAGAAGCAGCTAGCCACTGTTGACCACATGCTAATGTGAGGACAATGCATTGCAAGGCCTGTATAAGCACCTGGAGAGCACAGTGGCTGCATGGATGGGTGGGATCTGGGCACACAGAAACTCCAGCTGGTGTAACTCTGATGTGGGGATGAGGGTCCGTAACCTGGGGTATTTCTGAAACCAATGGAGACCCAGGGCGCTGTGGGACAACCTGTGCTCGTGCTCCAGCTCCCTTGCCAGATGCTCACGTTCCTCCACATGCCAAAGGAGCTCCCTGATCAACATGCCACTGGGTACGACCCCCGACACTTCATCCTGAGCCTGCACCCTTGATTCATTGGACCATTTCATCCAGCCGAACAGGGGCATGGCAGTCACTGGAGGTTGCCCTGAAAAACTGGGGAAACAAAACGTTTTTGTTGGCTTCCCCACAGCACTTTTCTAAACTCATTTTCAATATACTGGAATATGTTTATGCAAATGTAAGTGCTAATTTCTCTAAATTACACTTACAAATAAAAAGACAACATCTGACTTTATGAAAAAGTGAGGCAGGTAGCAAAACAATTGGAGTGAAAAGTGGAAACACATATAATGACCAAAAAAGTTCAAATCTACATATTTTATTTATTGGAAAAATAAATAAATGTTTCCAATACTATTTCTGATGCCTTGCACTTTAAACTTCAAAAAGTATACACTGAGAAATGTATCGCAGCATAACTTTTTTGAGTAAGGCAATTTGAATTCTTACTGTGTAGTAGGGGTGTAACGGTTCACAAACATTTCGGTTCGGTACGTACCTCGGTTTTTTGGTCACGGTTCGGTTCGGTACCTTTTCGGTACAGCAGAATTTTTTTTCACAAAACATATATATATATATATATTTTTTTATTATTATTATTAAACTGTGAATAATGTATTCACTCAAATAAATACAAAATAAAATAAACATTAAGGTGCAGCATTTCGATGAACTGAAATAATCTGTATTTGAACTTTACTGTACTAGTATTCACAAAACATAAACTATTAGTTTTGGGTTTTTAATTATTATTAAACTGTGAATATTCACTCAAATAAATACAAAATAAAATGAAAATTAAGGTGCAGCATTTCGATGAACTGAAATAATCTGTATTTGAACTGTAGCCTACTGTACTAGCACCTAAGCAGCCAGCTTGACATTAGGACTTGCTTGTCATTGTATTTTCATGTTTTTTTTAAATAAAAATTAACTTGTCCACATTGCTTGCCGAAAGGGCAGATCTGCTGGCACTAACAATGTCTCCTGCTGTGGAGAACACCCTCTCGCTAGGGACAGAGGTAGCCGATACAGCCAGGTAGCGCTTTGCTAACATGGCAACATAAGGATATTTGGCATTTGTAATAGCTTTGGCTCGGTCTGATCTTTTTGCGAGTGGTGGAGGCTTAAATGCTAGCGGGAGTTGGGTTTGCACTTCAGTCTTTTTTCTTTTGGTACCGGTGATATTCACGTTCGGGTGATGCCTTTTCAAGAGTGTGCAAGTTTGATGTA